CTACTGCGGGAAAAATTCTGCCTCGTCAGTCATGTATCGAAAGATACATGATCGCCTAAGCGTGTATCACTCATGACACCTAATTGACTGACTGACTGGAATATACATAACACGACATATATTTATACAATTCACTACACTACATTAGAACTTTTTTATAAGCACATATCTTGGCTTGATAGGTGAAGACGTTATGTGGATGTGTGATTGTAAAACATAATCTGTATGGCTGAAAACTGTGTCACATGACTTGATCGTAAATAAGTATATGCACGCTGGTTTGCTGTTTTTAAGTATTTTGAAATAAATATGAAGAGGTAAAAGTATGCATAATAAAAATATAATTATTCTTTTGGAAAAAAAGCTATAATAAATGAAACTAAGTGCACAAAAAGGAGGCATCCATATTTTTGCTATTTCAAAAAATGTGAATCCGACAAACTAAACCTGGCAGCTACTCTTGAATCTCCAATCAGTGGTTAGAGGCAAGAAATGGCATGTAAATTCCAATTCCTCCAAAACAAAACTGCTTTCATTTAATCACGACAGAGAACATGTTCTAAGTACCATCAAGATGGCCGATGCTAAATTCCAGAACAACTCTCTACGACTTCTTGCCCTCACATTTTCCTCTAACATGAATCGAGTCAATTTCTACGTCTGCTGCAAGAAAGGTTGGTTCACTGTGTCATAACAGGCAATTTTTCTCATCAGAATCCATCTTGCACATTTATAAATCGACCATTCGTCCGTATATTGGATACTGTTATTATATTCGGTCTTGTGCTTCTAATGTGCATCTCAAAATTCTTGACAAATTCCAGAAAATGCAATACAATCGATCCTTGCCAGACATCTCGTCCCCAGTCACTTTCTCACCGACGTGATGTGGCTGCCCTCTGTCTTTTCTACAAACATTTTCATGGCTACTGTTTTGATTAGCTTTTTACGCTGGTGCTCCGACTGCACGAATTTAAGGGTGCTACTACACTGGCAACTCGGTCTCATAGTTTGGCTGTTGAAATAGCTAGATGCAACCACCACTTTTACTCTAACATTTTTCCAGCGCTTCCCACCCGTGGAATTCCCTTCCGATTACTTGCTTTGCAGATAATTAAATTCTTCAAAAATTTAAATGCAACGTCAATCGCCATCTTCGATCTTCATGAATCTGTTCTTTTTTGTCCTTTGATCAGTTTTTCCCGTTCCCAGTCTTCTTATTCTCTTTCACTTTCATTCCCTTTCGTTCTCTTTCATTTTCAATCCAGATTCTATTTCACTTTCACTCCTTCTCATTCTCTTTCATTTTCAATCCAGATTCTCTTTTACTTTCACCCCTTCTCATTCTCTTTCATTTTCATTCCTGATTCTCTTTCACTTTCACTGCTTCTCATTCTCTTTCATTATCATTCCTGATTCTCTTTCACTTTCACTGCTTCTCATTCTCTTTCATTTTCATTCCTGATTCTCTTTCACTTTCACTGCTTCTCATTCTCTTTCATTTTCATTCCTGATTCTTTTCACTTTCACTGCTTCTCATTCTCTTTCATTTTCATTCCTGATTCTTTTTTTCTTTCCTGCTTCTCATTCTCTTTCATTTTCATTCCTGATTCTCTTTCACTTTCACTGCTTCTCATTCTCTTTCATTTTCATTCCTGATTCTCTTTCACTTTCACTGCTTCTCATTCTCTTTCATTTTCATTCCTGATTCTTTTTCACTTTCACTGCTTCTCATTCTCTTTCATTTTCATTCCTGATTCTCTTTCACTTTCACTGCTTCTCATTCTCTTTCATTTTCATTCTGATTCTCTTTCACTTTCACTGCTTCTCATTCTCTTTTCATTTTCATTCCTGATTCTTTTTCACTTTCACTGCTTCTCATTCTCTTTCATTTTCATTCCTGATTCTCTTTCACTTTCACTGCTTCTCATTCTCTTTCATTTTCATTCCTGATTCTCTTTCACTTTCACTGCTTCTCATTCTCTTTCATTTTCATTCCTGATTCTCTTTCACTTTCACTGCTTCTCATTCTCTTTCATTATCATTCCTGATTCTTTTTCACTTTCACTGCTTCTCATTCTCTTTCATTTTCATTCCTGATTCTCTTTCACTTTCACTGCTTCTCATTCTCTTTCATTTTCATTCCTGATTCTCTTTCACTTTCACTGCTTCTCATTCTCTTTCATTTTCATTCCTGATTCTTTTTCACTTTCACTCCTTCTCATTCTCTTTCACTTTCACTTTCACTTTCAATCCCCTGAATTCTAGTGAATGCATGGGTGAAACGATTCTTTTTGCCTTACGGTGAGTCAACGAAACAATCTGTCTGTGGATGACTACATATATATATATATATATATATATATATATATATATATATATATATATATATTTATATATATATATAAACCTAAAAGTAATACTCATACAAAACTACCATGTATAGATAAAGCCAAAATAATTTAAGAGCCCGCATCCTGAAATGTATATAAAAATAAACTAAACACGCACATACGTCACCCCCTGCTTACGTCACTACGCTCTTTCCCCAAGTCAACATTACATCCACCTGAGAGAGGAAACGTTTACAAATTTAACTTGTTTCGCTTTCACATACACTTCCTCCGAAATGAAATATGGAGGAGAATAGAACATTCTGGTATTTTTTTAATTTTGTGTCTGTTTTAATTGGTTAAGTAGAGCTCAGTGCGAGATAGGCAGATAAACAAACAGATAGATAGATAGATAGATAGATAGATATGAGCAAAACAGGACACACACACAGACGCAAACATGCACACACACACACACACACACATATATATATATATAT